TCTTGGTAACTACGTCGTGTTCCGTCATGAAATTTCTACAGAGTGTTCATTACATTGAGAGAAATGATTCAGTCGATAGAAAAAGTTGTGCCCAACCGTAGGCCAGGAGCAATGTTGAAAAAACTTGAAGAATATTTATTTCCTAGGAAACTACGGCGTGTTCCGTCATGCAAATTTCACAGAGTATTCATTACATTGATCGAAATGATTCAGTCGATGTAAAAAGTTGTGCCAAACCGTAGGCCGGGAGCTTTGTTGAAAAAACTTGAAAAATATTTATTTTCTTGGAAACTAAGGCGTTTCCCGTCATGAAATTCTTACAGAGTGGTCATTATATTGATCGAAATGATTCAGTCGATGGAAAAAGTTTTTTCAACATAGCTCTCGGCCCACGGTTTGGCACAACTATTTTCACCGACTGAATCATTTAAATCAATGTAATGAACACTCTGTGAAAATTTCATGACGGAACACGTCGTAGTTCCCAAGAAAATGAATATTTTTCAAGTTTTTTCAACATAGCTCCCGGCCTACGGGTTGGCACAACTTTTTCTATAGACTGAATCATTTCTCTCAATGTAATGAACACTCTGTAGAAATTTCATGACGGAACACGACGTAGTTTCCAAGAAAATAAATATTTTTCAAGTTTTTTCAACATAGCTCCCGGCCTACGGTTTGGCACAACTTTTTTCATCGACTGAATCATTTCGATTAATATAATGACCACTCTGTAAGAATTTCATGACGGAACACGCCGTAGTTTTCAAGAAAATGAATATTTTTCAAGTTTTTTCAACTAAGCACCCGGCCTACGGTTTGGCACGACTTTTTTCATCGACTGAATCATTTCGATCAATGAAATGAATACTCTGTGGAAATTTCATGACGGAACACGCCGTAGTTTCTAAGAAAATAAATATTTTTCAAGTTTTTTAAACATAGCTCCTGGCCTACGGTTTGGCACAACTTTTTCTATCGACTGAATCATTTATCTCAATGTACTGAACACTCTGTAGAAATTTCATGACGGAACACGCCGTGGTTTCCAAGAAAATAAATATTTTTCAAGTTTTTTCAACTAAGCACCCGGCCTACGGTTTGGCACAACTTTTTCGATCGACTGAATCATTTAGATCAATGTAATGAACACTCTGTGAAATTTTCATGACGGAACATGTCGTAGTTTCCAAGAAAATGGATATTTTTCAAGTTCTTTCAACATAGCTCCCGGCCTACGGTTTGGCACAACTTTTTTCATCGACTGAATCATTTCGATTAATATAATGACCACTCTGTAAGAATTTCATGACGGAACACGCCGTAGTTTCCAAGAAAATAAATATTTTTCAAGTTTTTTCAACTAAGCACCCGGCCTACGGTTTGGCACGACTTTTTTCATCGACTGAATCATTTCGATCAATGAAATGAATACTCTTTGGATATTTCATGACGGAACACGCCGTAGTTTCTAAGAAAATAAATATTTTTCAAGTTTTTTAAACATAGCTCCTGGCCTACGGTTTGGCACAACTTTTTCTATCGACTGAATCATTTATCTCATTGTACTGAACACTCTGTAGAAATTTCATGACGGAACACGCCGTGGTTTCCAAGAAAATAAATATTTTTCAAGTTTTTTCAACTAAGCACCCGGCCTACGGTTTGGCACAACTTTTTCAATCGACTGAATCATTTAGATCAATGTAATGAACACTCTGTGAAATTTTCATGACGGAACACGTCGTAGTTTCCAAGAAAATGGATATTTTTCAAGTTTTTTCAACATAGCTCCCGGCCTACGGTTTGGCACAACTTTTTTCATCGACTGAATCATTTCGATTAATATAATGACCACTCTGTAAGAATTTCATGACGGAACACGCCGTAGTTTCCAAGAAAATAAATATTTTTCAAGTTTTTTCAACTGAGCACCCGGCCTACGGTTTGTCACAACTTTTTTCATCGACTGAATCATTTCGATCAATGAAATGAATACTCTGTGGAAATTTCATGACGGAACACGCCGTAGTTTCTAAGAAAATAAATATTTTTCAAGTTTTTTCAACAAAGCACCCGGCCTACGGGTTGGCACAACTTTTTCTATCGACTGAATCATTTCGTTCAATGTAATGAACACTCTGTGAAGATTTCATGACGAAACACGTCGTAGGTAGTTTGCAAGAAAATGAATATTTTTCAAATTTTTTCCAATCTAGCACTCGGCCTACGAGTTGGCACAATTTTTTTCAGTCAATAAATCATTCATTTCAAATCAATCAACTTCCCCAAGAAATGTCATTGCGGAACCCGAGAAATCAATGACTTTTTCCAGTTTTGTTAAACATACTGGTTTGTAAATATTTTTCTTTCAAGTACTTTCTCATACTCACCAAAAAAAAAATTAATGTGGCAACACTGTATAGGATTAAATCGCTGCATCATAGAAAATTTCCCCTACGTCAGAATTTGTGGATGAAGGTTTGTGGATAACTTCACACTAATAGCTTTTTAGAGGTTGATTTCTTGTTTGTTTCAGAAGTTTTGAAACATGCTACTTCACGTAATCAGTTACATGAAGTTAAATATTTCATAACTTGTCAAACACGATATTCTGTCGCATAAACTTTCAAGCAGAATATTGTACCCACAAAATTCTGGATACAATTCTATGAAATTATCAATCTTATCAATTTGGGGAACATATTTCTCGCCAGAATTACACGGTACGAATTTGTTCAATTGATTTTAATTCCAGGTTCACTTTGAGTCAATCCAGGTCCTAACCGGATTGTGCAACGATTTTAGCTACATTTATACAACTATACTCATCTTTATCAGTCTGAATCAAAGTAACTACCTCTCCCAGGCAACCAGATAACAAATGATCACGTCACTGTGACATCCCTAATTAGTGATTCTTCGTCAGAGACGTCACACACCAATTTATGACGTCACTATGACGTACTTGCTATGACGTGATAATCACGTCATCATCTCGACGTCGAATGAACGTCACTTAGAAGAGTAAAATGAGACGTCAGTGTCATGACGTTGCTGGGACGTCCTGTCGATGACCATGTTTCCCAAACCATATCTAAACCATGTATACTTACATCATCATGTGGAACCGTTAGGTTTGTGACGTACCTATATATACAGGATGGCCATTTTCAGTGTCGAAAAGTTTTCAGAAAAAATCGATTTTTCATTCATTTTACACACTTATAAAGAAACATGTACGTCTTGGTAATTTTATATATATTCTTCTAACGTCAATAGAAGTATTACTCATTGAAACAAATCAAATGCAAGTTTTATTGGAATTATATATAGCTAAAAAGTAATAGAAAACTTTTTCAAACTTTGACACACTGTATATCTCGGAAACCAATCAAGCTATATAAGTATATATACAAATGATAATATAGATGTACCTATATTGAAAAAGTCACTTTTATGACGTTGCAGTGACGTATCTAAGACGTCTGAAAATCACGTCGTGTGAGGTATACCAATTTGATGGGCTTCGACATTCAGAAAATTTTTCAATAATTTGCTATTCAGATTTTTGTTGGGTGGAAAATAATGCATGAATAAACGTTACTCAACAAAGTGAAGCTAAATTCGACAACATCCTTTTCATTGCTATCAAACTATTCTTGGTTTGCTTACATCTCGCCGACACAAACTACATAATTTTTGATACAAATACGAGTAACTGATTTCATTCATTCATTCATTGAGATGCGTACTGATGGATAGCGCTGCTCAATTGACAATTGAATGGGCATGACACCGGAGGGACCACCAAGCAGATTAAAAAATGCATGGTCAATATTATATGTCATCAGAGGTCGGTGGTGATTATCACACCATGTTCTAGGCAACTTCTTCACGTGTCATCGCCAAATTTGAACTTAATTTTGACATCATTTCGACGTCAGTCCGACGTCACAGTTTGGTAAGTAAATGACGTCAATAAACGTGAGTAATATGACGTCATTGGGCTGTGACTCATTCACGTCATTCATCACGTAATACGACGTCAACTCCTGACGTCACCTTGGTCATTCTACTGACGTTAAAAGACGTCACTGAAACGTCATCTGGTTGCCTGGATTATGAAATCAAATGTCATAAGATAGAGTAGATATGTAGATTGATATTATTTTTGTATAAGTACCTGAATCATTGTCTCTGCAATTATAATATTGTGAATATTAGGATGAATTTTTGAGAAATCATGCAGACAATTTTGACCGAAATTCTACAAAATTTGAGTTCTTTTTGAATCTTATTGTGCATTTCTATTTTGACGAAAAGCTTCACTCAATAGGATTTCTTACCGTGTTGAGAAAATGTTATACGTACGAATAATTATGTTTTTTTAATGCCATGGTGTACCTGTAGGTAATTGACTGATATCTGTGGATGGTGGATGAAGATACATCTATGTTAAGACATGAGAAGCTAAAGCGCATAAGGTATTCCAAATCACGAGCCGTTATTGGTCATAATGAATATGGTGATACATTTATCTGACCCATGTGCTTTCGCTCTGTGACCAATGAGGATTGGGAACACGTTATGTGATTCAGACTCTTCTGTTACGAATACGAAAATACTAAAAGAGCGATGTACAGAAAGCTTCACTGTCATGTAAGCGTTTGTCTCTCTAATTATTGATGGATGATTAATAACAAACCTCTCATGTGTATTTTTAACAACCTCAACATTTTTTCCACCAATATTACCAAAATTCATCAGTAAGCAATCATATCTGGATTTGATTTTGTTAACATTTAGTAAATATTAATCGCATATTATTGTCGTTATAATTAGTTCATTTAACCTGTGATGAAACGGTCAACAATGTTGAGGAAGACTCATCGAATTAATATTTTTCCAGCACCCTTTTATGGTGAAATCTGAATTTCAGTGTTAAATTTGTGAGGTGATTAGATTAGGTATATCTTCGATGTTTTTAGGAAGGGTACCTTCGGCTCCATAGCCTGGTTTGCCAAAATATCCAGGGGTAAAATTAAAGGTGGCGTGAGCATCAATCGAATACATTTGTCCTGAAACAGAGGAATTTTTTGCTGTTGTAAATGGGTGGATATTGTCTTGGAGATGTTTCAAATGCACTAATAAAACTAAAGAAGCCTGAAAAAAAGAGGTGATTTGAATCAAGTTTCTTTTACCTTGCCAGTAATAGCTTCCAGGTGCTCCAACGAATAATCGATCGCCATCCTGAAATGAAAAATGAAATTAATAAACTGACTTTTGGAATTCTATAGGAGTATCTTTTTGGTGAAGAATCCATTTTAAAAAACAAGATTCTTAACGGAACTTAATGGAAAGTCATAATTTCAAGATACCAAATACGGATACGAAGTACATAAACTATGAATTGTATTTCTGAATTTTTATCTAAAATAAAATCTATTTCTCTGCAATGTGATATTGTCATATTAACGATATTGCTATAATCATGTAGTGAAATGCTTTTGATTTTTTTAAGCGAAAACCGTGTATCAGATTGAAAAAAATGTTATGATCAAATTTGCTCAAAAATGATTGAGAATTTCAGGAATGATTTCAATTTCGAGATCAATCAGTGGCGTACCATCAATGTCTGCCAAAATAGGTATGTGAAATTCCATACGAACGCCACTGGTGACAACCAAGAAAATGTGTTACACTAACTGATGCCACTTGATACATAGTACATATATGTCGAATTTCATCAGAATATCTGAAGTGATATTACAGATATTGATAAAAAACTATTGATTTTTGAGAACTTTACCACCCTGTACCTCAAAAGATGGGACGTTTAGGTCATACATTCATATAAAATTTTCTTCTCAGAATGGGCCCAATAATAGCCTCCCCAAATATTGACATTCAATTATGAAACACCCTGTATAGTATTTTCGTTTGAAAAATATCAAAATTTTGAAGTTTTTAAGAATTGAAGTAACTGAATAAAAATGGAATATTCCGAATTTTGTATTTTTGACCTCACCGTTGAAATCAGCGACCTCAAATAACCCCTAAATGATATGCCACACGCCACCTTTCGAGCCGTTGAGCAGATTTCAAAAAAATGTGAAAATACATTATGGCTGCCAGAATGCCTCAACTAATCGACCGAAAAGTTTTGGAATCATCTCAAATGTTTTTAACGGCTATAAATCAAAACAAGAAAATTCTTAGTGGAAAAAAATTATTTCTTCAAAAATAACTTTAATTTTCATAAATGACCGCCATATTGGTTTCATGAGGTGGAGGAAGCTAGAGCTGCGGGTAGAATCGATCTCTCGGACATAAACATCGTCTGTGCCAAGTGGGTAGCTTCCTTCATTCTTTTTCAAATTTTTCTGTGTACCGCTTCGGCTAGTAGTGAATCTCTATGTTTCCGAACATTATTGTCAACATTGTATACCCCAAATACCAAGAAGATCGATGTTGATGCTTTGTGAAAACAGACAGACGAAGTTTTATCATTTATTCTGAGTTTTTATATGTACCACAGGAAACAAGTTACCGCGGGCAAGTTGGTCACAGAATATACAGTTTTTGTTCCGGTACCATCCTCGAGTGCTTTTTGTTGCAAATCCAAATGTTTCAGATTTGAAAACATTTTAGTTTCATTTGTGTATTGTGCATGTATTGAATATTTTGATTCTGGTAACAATGCGGAATTACACAACGAGAGCGTGTTCTGGGGAATCAAACCAGTGCTTCTCAAACTATGGTGATTTCAATCATCAATTTTCTGAAAATTTCCGAAAGCTCTAAGATTTTTATTGTGTCATTATGTACACACCTCATTTTCAGAGATTCATCAAGTCAAGTAGCTTGATATTTTAACAAACTACTTGACTTGACTTGAAAATCAAGCTCGTGGCAAATTACGTACTTGACTTGACTTGAATTTGAGATATTTATTACTTGACTTGAAATCAAGCTACTTGATAATACTTGATCTTGATACACACGAGTCGCACGGCGTATATTTCTGCAAGCTCGCTCACGCTTAGACAAAATACGGGGGTTCCCCGAGATCCGAGCTGACTGAATCGATCGCGCAGTCAGTCTTACGATGCCATTTTCATTTCATCAGTTATATCATGTTATATACAGGGTGACTCACGATCGATGGTAGGTTAGACGTTCACGTTTATGATAGGAACGCAACGCAGGATTTTTCTGAAAATTTCGCATCTCACATTTCATCACCGGTACTATCGATCTAATATATTTTCAAAATCACGACGTTGCCGCTTCTATAGAAAAGTAGGAACCACTTTGTTATTTCGAATTGAACACCCTGTATTTTATTGCATTTTCAGATTCTCCTTGAAGAGTTGATTTCATCGATACATCACACTCGGGGTATAGCGGAAAAGATTATGGAGATATAGAGTGCGAAAAATCGAGATTTTTCAACTTCAGGAATTTTTTGTGTATGCGAAATTTTCAGAAAAATTTCGCGTCGCGTTCTCCATAAACGTCTAACCTATAACATCGACCGTGAGTCACGCTGTATAGATACACAATAAAACTGCTGAAAATCAAGTAGCTTGATAGAACTACTTGATTTTTCAAGTACTTGATAAATAATTACTTGACTTGACTTGACATTAAAAAACTTTCGCTTGACTTGAACTTGACTTGATTTCAAGTCAAGTCAAGTCAAGTAGCTTGAATATCAAGTCAAGCCGTGAATCTCTGCTCATTTTATCTATTGCTACAATTTGGGAAACACCCTGTATTGTTACTGCATGTAATGAAATGCTTCATGCTCTGCGGACACTCATTTTGTTTCTTGAAATATCGAATCCATTAACCTTTGTGGGAACACTCGAAACACTTAGATATTTTATGAGTCTAGAGAACAAGCTTGAGGTTTCTTTGCCCTAGAACTTCAAATCTCAGTCAATATTCAGTAACCTTAAAAACACATGGAGGGTTATTATCCAACAAAAAACATAACATTTTTCGTTAACAGACTTTCCTACATGAAGATGATATTCAAATCCGACATTCTTCTAGATTCTTTGAGATTTTCTCTCCCCGTTTTTATAAGCAAAAACATGGAGTGTGTTGTGAAAAATGCCGTGTGAATAAAAACTTGTGGATTTTTTTTTATGTTCTGATTCCCACGAAAAGGTATGCCCTGTAATGTTCAGAGAACTTCGTGAAAACCAAGGGAAATAAGGTAGGTATTGGTGTTCTCCTTGAATTCCTGGAGATTATATGCCTCGGGGAACACCACCATTGGCAATGTGTTCCAGAGTCTCGCTGTTCGGTGGATAAACGAGTTGGAAAGGAATGTTCTGCAGGTCTCCGAAGTGACCACGAAAGGGTGCTAAGCCTCAACTCGACGGGTTAATCTCGCGGGTACAGCCAACGGAGGAACAATTGTTGATATTTCAGAAGAGCGTCGTCCATGAAAATATCCATCGAATAGGGCCAGATCGCCAACTTGTCTACGGTGTTCTAGAAAAGTGAGTGAGTTCGTGAGCGACGCCTCACCCACGAGACGAATTGCCCTTTTTTGGACAGATTCCAACAGTTTCAGGGTATGTTTTGGCGCTGCACTCCAAATATGAGAACAGTATTCCAGGACAGGTCGGATCTGTGCCTTATAGATCATAAGCAGCTGACTGGAAGTGAAATAGCTCCTGGCCCGAAATGAAGAAAACAAGTTTTTGGGATGCACTTTTAGCAATTGATCTCACGTGATTCTCCCAAGTTTTTTACATTTACATGATTATTATTTTAATACATGTGTAACATGAATAAACCAGTTGATTTTCTCGAGAATGGCATTCCAATCACTACCAGAAACCTAACAGAGAGATTCAGTCGGTAGTCAGTGACACCTGATTCTGAAAAATGTTCGAAGAAGAGGAAATTATTCATGATATAATGCAGTGTGATTCGGAGTATAGTGATGCCTTCACTTATGTTATGATTTTTGTTGCTGCAATTATTTGTTGATTTTGTATCATTATACACTTATCCGAAAGTGATCTTTGGTTGTGAATAAGTGGACTGTATAAAATTGTTGAAAGCTCAAATATCGTATTTATTGATGAAAATATCAGTCTGTAATTTCAGACTCTTCAATCATGACTGATCTTTCTGTTTCCTCTCAAAAACTATATATATTTTCACAATCCCTGTTGACAATACCTACCACTCAAAAACTCTAGTTTCGGTCCTATAAATGAGGCTGGCGTGACTGATAATGAAAACATGGAAACAATAAAATGGCCAGTGTTGGGCCATGAAAACTGAACATACATCCGGTTCGAAGGACCAATGATTGGGGTGTCATGATGCCTTCACGTATGTAATCTTGGCGTGATCACGATTTTGAGTTTTGTTGCTGTTGTAATTATTCGTTGATTTTGTAGAAGGATACACTTATAGGAAAGTGATCTTCGTTTGTAAATAAGTGGACTGTATAAAATTCCAGAAGCGTGTTTATTGACGTAAGATATGTGTCTGCAATGTCAGACTCTCCAACCAAGACTGGTCACACTGGCTTCTCACAAAGACTATATATATATTTACAATCCCTGTTGGCAATACCTACCACTCAAATACTCAAGTTTCGGTCCTATAGATGAAGTTGGCGTGACTGATAATGAAAAATGAAAGCAATGAAATGGCCAGTACCCTGCATATATTCGGACCCGTTGATTTTTATTTTTTGATGCGAAACATTCAATGAACTGATGTTTCAGCACTATGCTGCCACTATGCGTTCAATTTTGGATGAAAGAGAGCACCAGTCGAATGGCCTCCTAGATCACCAGACCTAACTTGAATGGACTTCTTTTCTGTGGGGTTACCTCAAATCGAATATAACTTATTGTTGACGTTGTGCGTGAAATTACTCCAGGAATAGTTGAAAAAGTGCAAAGAGTGTTCATAGATCACCTTGGATATTGTCAAGCCGTGAATGGTGAACATTCTCAACAATGGATTTGATTTGTTGATAAGCAAAAGTGTTTACTTATTTCATAATCGTATTTTTTTCGATAACTGTTAAATTCGCTCAAAAATGTATACAAAATAGGTAAGTATTTCAATATGAATAAATAGAGTTGATCGTTGTAAGTTGTTTTTAGCCGAACCTGTATACATGAATATACAATCAAAAAGACTAATCAAGAATGTAACAACTTTATATTCAAGTTCTGGAATAATTCCAATAATACTTCTTATCT